CCCTCGTCCCCTGATATCTTGGGGCCTCGCCCAGCTGCGGGCCAAGGGCATGGAGCCAGCTGCTGTGGACGTCTGGGTGGGCCTCCCGGTGCACAGAGCAGGGGCGGAGGACAAAGGAGCCCGCACAGCCTAGGGCATCACCAGACCCCACTGCCTCTTCTCAGTGGGGGACACTGAGCCAAGAAAGCCTCTTTGGGGCAGAGCTGGGGTTAGAACCCAGGTCTCCGGGCTGGAGCCCAGGCCTCGTGCCCCGGGTGGCCCTCCCACTGCGCTGGGGTGTGTACCAGCTCGGAGCAGTGCCCAGCTGATGGCCTCCTATCCTGGAAGGACCCCACTGGGCCACGAATGTGGGGAGCACCACCATGTGAGCTGAGACACACCCGGCACAGATGTCAGCTAGAGCGTGCAGGCAGCTCAGTGGGGGCCTCTGCCACCGGTGGTGGCAGGCCTGGGTGGTGGAGGGTAGAGGGGTGACCCACGCAGAAGGGGGGTCGAGAGAGTCAGTGAGGAACGAAAGCCGCCAACAAAGCAGCGGAAGAAGCTGTGAAAGGCGGGAGGGGGCGAGAGGCCGCAGTGTCTTCTCGCCTGGTCACCCCACCGCCCTCCCACAGTCTCCAGCTCCTTGGCCCCAGCGGCTCCTTCCTGGACACCCCTAGACACTCTCACATTCCTCATCCTTACAAAAGCAGGGAGAAATCCCAGAAGCCAAGGAGACAGGAGAGTGGGAAAGGCAGTGACCGCCGGTCCCCAGGACCGCAGGGACATCACGGTGGAGGAGTCACGGGCTGGGTTCCCTGGAGCCAAGGAGCCGGGCGGCAGAGGGTGGTGGAGAGGAGGTGAGGCGTTGGAGGTGACGAATCACGACTGTGAGCGGGGAGAGAGGGGAAAGGGCTTATCGTGCGTGCGTGTGCATGTGCGTGTGCTGCTGGGCGCGTGGTCACTTCCTGATTCCTGTTTGTGCTGTTTGCCCAGGGCACACTGAGAGTGCACGGGTGTGTGTGCATGTGTGCGTGCGTGTGTGTGCGTGTTTGTGCGTGTATGTGCATGTGTGTGTGCGTGTGTGCGTGCGTGTGTGCATGTGCATGTGTGTGTGCGCACGTGTGTGTGCATGTGCATGTGTGCGCGTGTGCGTGCGTGTGTGTGAAGATGGGAGATGCTCCAGGGTGTCTACAGGCGGACAGGCTGCAGGCTCTGGGTGAGGCGTAATTGATTAATTGAATTAGGAGAGTGGTTTCTCCTCCCCGAGTTCCTGGTCTGCTGGCGAGACGGGGATTTGAACCAGCACCTCCACTAATGAGACAGACTGTAATTGAATTTCCGGCCCCACAGCCCGTCTGGGGCTTTGTCAGGGCTCTGCACCCCTGGCCACCACGGGTGGAGGGAAAAGACACCTGGGCGCAGGTAGCAGTCAGTAACTGTGCTTACAGGAGGATCATGCGCGAATTGTGTTTTTAACTTTCAAAGCGGTCTCACATTTAATTTATTTCCTCCTCAGAACCCAGCTTTTGTCACGCTTTGCTTTAAATGCCACTGAGTCACTTGATGTGGCGGGAGGTTGCAGGAAGGTTCCAGAGGCCACAGTGCAATGTCTGGCCCTCCTCTGTGCCCTGGCCATGTAGGAACTTAGGCCCGGGGAGTGTTTGTTGAGGGATTGTGTGATGGATAATGGATGGATGGGTGGACGAGTGCATGGGCTACTGGATGAATGGAGAGACGGCGCCTCGGAACATTCCATGGGAAAGCAACCTCTTCCTTCACACAGACACACTGGGGACTGGCCACCAGGGTGATACGTGGCACAATGCCCAGCATCAGAGGCACTAATCCTTGTCCCCCTATGACAGTGTGGCTTCTGGCAGGCGTCAGTCACCTAGTGTCCCCCAAAGAGGCGTGGGAGCCCTCCCCCTCTTCGCTCCCCCTGAGGAAGATGCCGGGGCTGCAGGACTGGGCTCCGTGTCCCCCACTTGGGGACCTGTTGACTCTGGAACCCTCCTGGGGGCCCAGGAGAGGCAGGGCCCGGTCCTGGCAGGGCACTGAGGGCCGTATGCTCTGGTGCCTCGCCGAGTACTGTCTGTCACCGCCTCGTGCCCGTGGCATGAAGGCCAGTGCCTCATCTTGGCCACAAAGACCTGTCCACGAGCAGGGCACCCACGCGGCATCCACGCTCTCTGACCTCTGCACCCTGGCTCACCTGGGCCTCGCTAGAAACGCCCACCCTGGCCCAGCCCTCAGGCCCATCTCGTGCCAAGTGCCACCCCTTCCAGGCAGCTTCTGTGAACACCTGCTGGGCCCCTTGCCCTATACGCCCCCGATAGCTCCTGCTATTGGGGCTGGTGGCAAGTCGACCGCGCGTTTCGGACACCACACAGAGTCCCCATGGACTGGAAGCTCCTGGAGGGGAGGGCTGCGGTGGCAGCGGGTGGGGGCCGCTTCTCACCCTGCCTGTGCCTTTTCGGTGTGAAGCCCGGTCTTGCACTTGGGATGGGCGCAGCTGCGGGTGGCCGCCCACCTCCTCGTGCTGGGCGACACACAGGACATGGACAGGGAGGGATCCCTCAGAAGTCTCACTCCAGCTTCCTCGCAGGCCCCTTGGCCTGCACATCCATCTCGCTGACATTTTGAACTTGGCCGGGCTTTTAATAGACCCGCCGTGTACGAGGAGCAGTAAACAATGATTTGAGAACTCGGCTAATTAAAACACTCTCTGGCAGCAGAGAGCAGCCTCCCGTGGCTGCTTCCACCCCAGGCCGGGGCCCTTCCCTCCTCGGGCTGCCTCAGGTGGCCTCCGCTCTGCAACTGCAGGACGCAATGTGTCTGGCCCAGGAACCCCAGGCCAGGGAGTCCATGGCCCCCAGGGGGCTGCAGCGGGGAGCGCCCCCCACCCCCACACCTCTTTGCAGCTTGGCCTTGTCTCAGACCTCACCGCCTCCTCCAGGCAGCCCCTACTGCTCTCCCATGTGCAGTGCCTGGCGGGGTGCGGGGTGCCGATTCTCATCTTCCCCTGTAGCAGCTGCTCATAGCTTCCCCTCTGAGTGCTCAGCCCCTGATCTCAACCGGTCCCTTGCCCCGTCTCTGCTCTCTCTCGGTCCCGTGAGGCCCCAGTCCACCTCCCGTCTCTCCACTCCTTAGCTCGAGGGCACCCTACCCAGTCATAGGCCCTGGGGGAAGTAAGCAGGGGCTCTGGCCCTCAGCCTCTCTCTCTACTCCACAGTCTCCTGTCTCTTCTCTGAGTGTGGCCCATCTCTGCGGCCCCCTGGGGGACCTGTCCACACCGCTCTGCTCTCCACTGGACACAGAGAGGAGGCCCTTCCTTCTCCTGCTGTGCCTCCTCTCTCCTGATAATTCAAGCTTCAGCCCGAACCCCCGGGCTCCCAACAGCCTCCGCTGGGCCTCCTCCTGGTCACAGAGCCCTGGCTCTTTCTTGTTTCCCAGCTCCCCTGGGATTTGGACACTCAGGGACCAGCAGTTCCTTGGCACAGGGGATGCTTCTTGGGGACAAGGGTCCTCCCCTTATCTGTGGGAATCTGTGGGGAAGACCCTTCAGTAAGCTGCAGAGGGTCCCACGAAGGCAAACAATAGGAGCTCAGTAAATGTCAGGGAAAAGGTAGCAGCCAGGCCTCCTTGGGCAGGGTTGGTTTTGCAATCTCGGGGCCACCCCCAACCCTAAAAATACCTACTCCCCACTGGACCGACGCTTACGACAAGCTTCACTTCCTCACTCAGCACCCAGTCCCACCCACCACTGCCCGCCTGGCGCCTGCGAGCTGCTGTCTGGAGCCCCACCGAATTTCAGGGTCCACATCCATGACAGGTGAAGCCAAGGCCCCCTACCCTGAGTGCCCCGTCCCGAGCTCTGGCAAGACCATGGGGCGGGGCTCGGCAGGAGAGCTGGGAGCAGAGCGCCAGGCTCAGACAACACTAATACTGATTATCGTTAGCACGTTAGTTAGGAACGCGCCCCGTGACCTCAGGGGTGACTGAGCCTCTCCCAGGGGCACTGAGAGGGGTTCCCCACAGGCGCCTCGCTCCGCAGAGCCCGGCCACCTGCTTGGGGGTGGCCAGGCGTGACTGGCCAGAGGGACAGCGTGTGGGTACCCCGGGGCCCCCGACTGTCACGTGACGAGGACACCGCCTCCAGCAGAGCGCCGGGCGTGTTCCCGTCTTCACAGCCGCCTGCCTCCTCTCAGTCTCCCTTGCTTGTCGAGACAGAAGCTGGCAGGGAGGGGTTTGCAAACACGAATCGTGGCATTGCTTCATGTGTTCCCTGGCCCCGACTTCATCAGAACAGCTGCGGGGACTCTTCCTCGAGAGGAGGGATTTCTGTCCCTCGGAGTTGCAGGGGAAGAAGCAAAACCACGCGCTGGAAAGAGGGTCATGTGACCAAGACGGCCCATCTCTCCTGGCCTGTAGTTACAGGCTATTAGCAAGTCTGAGGACCGTGACAGCAAGGTGGCCCGCATGCTGCTAGGTTCCTTCACATTGTCCCCACGGCCCAGGGGGCAGGAGCACAGGCCAGGGACAGGCCACCAGGAGCCCGCGGGCCGGCCGGCGACAGGCCTGTGCAGATACAGGGTGTACCGAGCTGCAGCGTGCCGGCCCATTCCCGCCCCCCTCCCAGCCCAGGCCTCCGTTTCCCGCTCCGTGCAAAACCCAAAGAGCGTCCGGATCCTGCAGCCCACTCCCCCCGGGGACCCAGTCCCAGCTCCTGCGTCACACCTGCCTCCCTGCTGCCCACACGAAACCCGCCTCCAGGCCTCAGGTTTGCTGTTCCCTCCACCTGAGGCCACTTCCTCAACTCTGTCACATGTCAACAGCACAAGCGCATCCTGCAACACGAGACGCTACACGGACGCAGGGTCGACCCTCTCTCCCCGGCCCCGAGGAGGAGGAGGAGCCGGCCAGCGCGCTCGCGGGCGGAGCAGCGACCGAGGGCGCGGAGACCACCACCGAACGTGCGCCTGCCCCCAGGAGCCCCGCGTGACAAGCCGGGACCCCACTACCGGTCACACCCCGCTGCGTCTTCCTTCGGCACAGCCCCAGGGAGAAGGCCGGGATTTTGGACAGGGAGGGTGGCTGTGGAGAAGACCGTGGACCGACAGAAGGGCCGACTGTGGGGTCCGGCCAGCGGTGGACACTGCTAAGCCCCAGAGTCCTGACCTCCAAGCTGGACATGGTGTCAGGAGCCGCCTCCGGGTCCACTGTACCCATGGCAGCCAGCAGTGCTCAGCAGCGGGGGAACAGGCAGGCACTTCTGACCCGAAGGCCCCAGGGCGGCACAGCGCTGAGCTGGACAGGAACCCCTCGCCCCTGGCAGAGCTGCCAGAGCGCCCGAGGCAGCCCAGGCCGGGCCTGAGAGCCTTTGGAAGGCTTCCCAGTGGAGGTGACCTTGAGGATGGGCCTTGAAGGGCACAAATGAGTTTGCCAAATGCAGGGGAGGGGGAGGCCTTGTCGGCAGGACAAGCCCGCGCCAGGGAAGGCCAGGCCGCCGGTATGCCTGGCTATTTTGGGAGCCTTGTCAGAGACCCGCAGAGTGAGGGGAGCAGCTGTCTCTGAGGCTGACGGTCGGAGGGGCTGCCCGGCCGGGGTCCCGAATGCCAGGTGCTGGGCAGTGTCTGGAGGAGCCTCGGACAGGCTCTCAGAAGGGGAAGGACGGGGTCAGAGCTTTCAGAAGCTTCAGTGATCACCCAGCGGCCAAGGGGGAGGAAAGGGTGTGGGGACAGTGGGGACAGCAATGAGGCCACCGCTAGGCCTGGCTGGGAGGCCGGGAGGACAGAGATGGGCCTGGGGCCTGAGGGCCAGGAGGAGGGGGCTGGAGGCAGAAGCCCAGAGTTGGAAGTGGGCGGGAGGTTCAGGCAATTGCCCCCACCTCCCTGCCTTTCTTCTGCTCAAGGTGAAACACACAGGAAGAAGGTCTGCGTTTGGCGGGAGCTCGGCCCCGCCAGGGGGGCCCCAGGAGGTGGCCAGGGCCTGGAAGTCTCCAGACAGCCGCCTCTCCTCCCTGCACGTCCCCCCGGCCCCCGGAAGGTCGGGACAACGGCCCTGGCCTGGCCACCGCCCAGCTCTCGGCGAGCCCGCTGCGCCCCCTGCCGGCCCGGCGTGGAGAAGGAGGGGGCCGGGGCCAGGGGTCCGCTCTCCTCCCTGGCTCATGCGCATTTCTTAAAAGAAGGGGACGTGTGGCCGGGAGATAAGCGCCACCGTTACTAATGGCAACAGGTGAAGTGAAGATACTCATTATCGTTTTCGGCCTAATGAAGCCTGTCGAAGGCCCTTTCCGGGGTGATAAATCCTTCCACCTGAGCTCTCCCGGCCATGTCATAACTCATGTCCCAGGGGTCACACCACTTCCCCTGGGTCTCCTCAACTCCCCCTGCCCGGAGGACGAGGGGCGTGGCCAAGAACAACTTTTGGAAACACAGAATTTCACACTCCATCGTGTGAGCATTAAGGTGGCAATGCATTGGGTTATTGCCTCTTGCTTGCCTGTCCCTATCGGCGGTGGCGGATGGGGGAGGCCAGGCCGAGGGGAGACTGGAGGCCCGGGAGGAGCCTATCAGCCCTGTGGGCCCCAGAGTGGGATTGGAGGGTGTGGCCCAGGGCTCGTTAGGCCCCAGCGGTGACCCCGAGGCCCAGGAGGGGGACAGTGACAACACAGGTCTCTGTCTCACGGAGCTGAGCAGTCGTGTGCGGCGGGAAGGCGCCCAGCGCCGGCCGAGCTGCTCTCCCCCTACTAGGCCCCATGGAGGCCACGGCCTTCCAGTTACTGCGACCGTTGACCGTCGTTCCCAGCAGCTCAGCCAGGTGGCTGGGTGTTCTCACCCCTCCTGGGAGTGCTCACAGACAGCTGCCTCAGACAAGATCCAGACTTCGGGGCCCGGTCAATAAAACTTCCCATCACGCCCCTGCAGAGCCCAGCCAAGCAGCAACCCTGGCGTCACGATGGCCGAGGCCTGGTCGCTGGGCTGGAGGGCAGCTCCGGAGGGGCGCCCAGGCCCGTCTCAGAGGCACTCGGATGTGTGGGAGGGCAGAGTGGGGGAGACTGGGAGAAGCCAGAGGCCACCCCACCGTGTGAGACAGGAAGGGACGGGAGGCGGAGGGAGTGAGGGACCCACTGCCCAGCGCCCCACACGGTCTGTGGTCAGCCTCGCCCCCCCCCCCCCGCCCCCTCCCCGTGTGTACCTGATCTCCCGCCTTCATCCCGCCCCCCCAGGTGACACGTGGCCCAGATCTTTGACTTTCTCTACTCTAAAGTGAGCGTATTAAAAGCATATTTCTGTTCCCAACATCAAGTTTTCGGGATGCACACGGCTTATTCCTCGCCCACCCCCCCATACCTTGACTGGAAGGAGGAGGACCTCCCAGCCTCTCAGCTGCTGCCAGCAGGAGGGACAGACATTCCAAGAAGGAGCCAGCTGGGAGGGGTAAGAAGCAGGGCAGGGACATTTTCCAGCCTAGGGCAGGTGGAGCCACCCAGAGGCCTTGGCCAGTAACTGACGGCCACTCTCACCTGGGGCGGCACCGGACCAGGTGACCAGGTGAGAGCAGAGAAGGGGGCCAGCCTGGGCTCTCCCAGGGGCGCTCCCGGGCCCTGAACCTTCCACTGTATCTCTGGGCCTGCCCGGCGTGGTGGTCCCCCCGACCAAAGCTCCCTGAGGGCTTGAAGGATGAATCTGGATGTTTCCTGACCTCCCCTCCCCCACCCCTGCCCCCATTGTACCTGCAGCAGGACAAGACACATTGGGACAGGAATTAAGGTGTTCTGTGAGGAAGCTCACCTTTTATTGGGCTTCGAAGCCTGAGTAGGATTTTAAAAGGAAAGCAACTTGGAGTTGTTTTCCCTTCTGAAAGAAATACACGCTGTTTCGAGGAAATGTTAGGGAAGGCTGCAAATTTAAGAAGGAAAAAATCAACTGTGGTTCCTCTCCACAGAAAACCTCGACAGGATGCATTTCCTTCTAGTCTTTTTTCTGGCCATTTTCTTCCGGTTTGTTTTGCACGCAGAGACCCGGCTTCATCTGCAATCTTGTTTCTACTCGGTTCCCAGACAGAAATATTTCCCTCTGTTTATATAAATTCAACGGAGACAAAGTATCCATGGCTACACAATAGCTCATTGAGTGGTTTGCACCACAGTTGGAAGGTAATGTTTATTTAGAGCATTTATGATTGAAATCGTACTGTTTTCAGTAGAGGCAGTCTGTACGGTGTCATCGTGCCTAATGGTTTTCTCCTGTTGCAGATGAATTGCTTTCAATTGTTCCTCAGTAGTAGAATCTCTGTATCTAAGATGATGGAAATCTTTTAAAGGGAAAAAAATATGGTTTTTCTTCTGGTTGATACGAGTAACATGCATTTATTTTAGACAACTTAGAGATACATATAAGAAGACACAGTCACCGATAACCTCGTGAATATTTATAGCCTCATGACCCAGAGGGGAGTGTGTGTGTGTGCGTGTGTGCGCGTGCGTGCGCGTGCGTGCGCGTGTGTGTGCGTGTGTGCGCGTGCGTGCGCGTGTGTGCGCGTGTGTGTGCGTGTGTGCGTGTGTCTTTTGAATTAAAGCTACCACCCCGTATTTCCTTAACAACTTTATTGAAATATAATTTCTATACTAGGAGAGTCACTTCTCCTAAGTGTACAATGCAACAATT